TCATTTATTTTTGCTTGCACATGATTAAATAATGGAAGGCAGCAGGGCTTTACCTCATTCACCAAACTAAGGGACCATTCCATTACAAAGTGCAAATTCCTTTGCAAAGTGAACACCCTAGAGACAGCCCATAGTCTCTAGTTGGCCTTTCCTGTATTCAGTTTTATCTCAGCATGAAGCTTGCCTAATATACAGTCAACCACTAGAGGAAAAAGCCCTCATGAAAATGTATAACATCATGCCAGTAAAACTGTGAAAATCACATGAAGAATTTCTCCAAGTAACGCAAACCATGTACGCACTGACAATATGTTATACCTTTCCCTTATTATAATGTCAGAGCTTTAACGTATGCCTCATGAAGCCAGAATATCCTGTACGTGTGAAGACTAAGTAAAAATGTCCTACAAAAAATATTCTTCTTAATATTCTTCTTGTTCGTCTTCTGAAGTTTTATTCAGCAAAGGTGTTTTACCATGTACGTTACTGAACCAGACCACCATCTATTCTCCCTTGGGTCATTAATCCACAGAAGTGTAGAAGAACAAGACTAATAGTAATGAAATCTTTGGGGGCACTGATCTAATAAGAGGCAGAGAGAGGAGCATGCTGGGGGGAAGCAGCCATTAGGAACCGTCTGTCAATAGTAGCTCCGGGGAGCAGAGGAAGCATAGAGCAGAGAGGAAACAGATAACGATTCATCAGTGTACAAGCACAACAAAGAAAAATGTTCACTGAAAAATGAAAATGATGCTGCGCGGGAGGACTCTGAATATCTTTATACTGTTTGTATATTAAGTATGTATCGTATGCATGTAAATAACGAATCAAGGGGGGACTTTGGTCAGTGTAAGTTATATTGCCATTTAAATTGTTACAGTAGCAATGCAAACATCTAAACTGTTGACCTACACAGTGTTCTTGGAGAAGCTAATTTGGATCTCTGGTGGAGAGGGAAAATGTTTAATGGGATCATATATATAAGAACCAACATTTTTCAAAGGTTAATGTTTTACTTTATAGAGCTTCCCACATTTGAGCCCATATTCTTCCGGCTCACTAGTGGCTGACTATTTGTAGTTAGTCCTATTTAACTAGACTTATCTTGTAATGTTGAAGAGTTTGTGTAGCTTATCCAGTTCTAAAGAGTGATACGAACACAACTTTCCATCCTGTTTTTGGACTATCAACATTTGCCTTGACACATTCCATGGTGATTGGAAATGCCGGGGTATGTTACTACCGTGTTTCCCCGAAAATAAGACACTGTCTTATATTTTTGGGGGCTCAAAAAAACACACTAGGTCTTATTTTCAGGGTAGGTCTTATTTTTTTTTTTTAAATGTACAACAATCCACACTTATTCATGTACAAAAATATGGTAATCAGGGGTGTCGTACCTTTCCAAGAGCAATTTGGTAACCAATCGCTGGCCAAAATGAGCAAAGCGCGCTTTCACTATAGATTCCTCACAGGCGGAATGAATTTGGTAACACTCAGCCTGTGACAGGAGGCGGCGCTATAGAGGAGGCATCGGGTTATGCGGCTCAGGTCCCTCCGGTGCCGCCTCGCTTCCTCTAGCGCTGGCTTCGTTGGCACCCCTGATTCTCTCCCGCGGCTCTTCAAGTTCCCCCTTATGCCACCATCGGCCCTGGGAATGGTCACAACTAGGTCTTATTTTCGGGGTAGGTCTTATATTTTAGCAATTCCCAAAAATAGTACTAGGTCTTATATTCGGGGTAGGTCTTATTTTCGGGGAAACAGGGTAGCACTCATTAGAGCAGAAAAAGTGGCTTGGATAAGATAGGACATGTCCAACATCACAGTTCTGTTGACTGTCACACTCTACTACTAGCTATACCATGAACTTGATAAATGAGAACCTTCACAGACATATCACCAGTGCTTGACACCTGTGATACATTGGAAAAAGCTTCCCGTTAAAGTGCTCTAGTACCTCAAGGCATTGCTCATTATGCTTATGTTTGAAGCCAAGTGAAGTAATGGGAAAGGGGCTGAGCATATGCAGCAGGTGGATGTAACATTACAATGGACCTGTTGCTTTTCCCTGCATGGAAGAACATCAAGTCTCTTTATTGAATTTCAAAACTCCTAGTAAAAATTTAGAATCCCAGTTTGGCTGGGATCATGCTGCCTACAATGGCAAGGTTTGTCATAAACAATCCTTAATGTCCCGGATTGTGGTTATAAAAGCCTGAGATTTGATGTGGGTGATTGGCTGTCTCCCAAACATTGCATCCAAAAACACAAATGCAGACGCAGCAATGCTGCAATTTGTAAGGGGAGTTTTATTACTGACTTTTATGTTTTGTCTGTAGCTTTTCTTTAAACTCAGCAAACGGATATGGCTGACTTTCACAGTCACCACAAAGGTCGCCCAAGTAATGGGCTTATTATTGGTGCAGCCACCTCGCCGTTGTTCATTTCATTTCACCTTCAGGTTGTTGAATTACGTCTAAATAGTTGAATCTGACTTGACTTGCTCTCTATCTGATGAACAGAGAGAAGATACCTTCTCACATCCAGTGTCTTAATCATTGCCTGACATCTGCCTGACCTTGTATTCTAAGTGAACACCACAGAAACTTACACTTCCTGTGTACAGAATGTGCAACTGAACGAGGCAAAATGTTACAGAGAGAGTTTTGCTATTTTACTTTTTAATATAAAAGCAGCTATTTAAGGGAAACAGTGCTGCCATTACAAAAAGTCAGTACACTGACATGATATGTACAATCGTAGGGCTATTCACAAAGCTGCCAAAGGCAGCCGAGTGATGAACCAAGCTGTAGTGAAGTGAGCCGAACAATGTTCGCTATTCATTACGGCTCATGGCTGTACGGCAGCCCAGCTGTCATTTGCGGGGCGAAAGGCCCGCCTTTGGCAGGCCGTTCACCCCGCTTCGGCTGACACTTCGACTCAGTCGAGCCAAAGCAAATGCCTTTGGGTACTGTACAGGCTATAGTGAATAGTCCGTACAGCAGCCCTTCGGTTCGACTGAACCGAAGGGCTCCAGCAACTGAAGCTAGCCGAAGGATCACCCGAAGCTACGGCTGGATCCTTCGGCAGCTTTGTGAATAGACCCCTTGAAGTTGGAAATGCAAATGGCAGAATACCTTATGAGGAAGGGTCACTAATCTGATTGTATCATTGGTGCAGGTTATCAGTTAAAGAGTCATTTATTGGCTGACCCCAGTGATTGAAAACTCCATATCATAGTTCCTGGTTTGTTCTGCTGTTCTGCTACACTTAACAATGTAGAGATCTACATGGCTTTATCCACTATACTTTATTAAAGGATAAGCTTTTCACTCGGAATTAGTGAATCTGCCTGATTTCAGTTTGCAAACAGTTTTGCAAATCTTGTTTGAAGTTTGGGAATTTTGCAGTGGACCCCTTTGAAGTATATGGGGGAGGGGCAAATCTTGTTATTCAGTTCTGACTATTTGTAGTGGTAATAAGCAAGCTATCGTCAAACAAAAGGCATGGAAAGCTGAGCACTGCAATCGGCGACATGTATCAATGCCAACATTATATAAATGAATCATGATTAAGAAAAAAAAACAGTATCTCACGCTCTCTGACTGACAATATGACTGTTATAAGCCCACCCTTTTATAGAAGGGGACTAAGCGATCCATTACTTTAAATTATTGTCTCTTGTGACTCAGCTGATTGAGGCAAAACCTATGCACTATATAGGTCGGTCCCTATTTGTGATGGTGAACCTGCAAAGTTGTTGCTAAAAGTTTGCAATTGGTAAACTTTGCGAATCCTGAGGATTCCCTACTTCTTATCCCTACTCTTCACATATTTGGTTTATCTTGGAAGTGACAACATGTAAATATCTTGTACTTTAATTTTCAATGCTTTAGAGCAGCCAGGGTGTGGTGTGGGGGGCTTCTTATGTGAAGGGGGAGCTATGATGATAAGGGGACTCAGATGTGAAGGGGGAATCCCACTTTTTTGTGTGTTTATGCTTTG